TACGGACGTTGACGATAAAGGGGTAGACATCGCAGCTGGCAATAGCGAGCTTTGACATGCCGCTCAAGAAAAGGACCCTCGCGGCTATGCTGTGCACTCTCATGATGGCCACTGGGCCTGGTTGCGAGAGTCGGGGCAAACCTCGTGTGCATAGGCCTCCGCCAAGTGCGGCTTGGTGCCACTGTAAGCACTAGGCACCGCTGTTTGGCTTAGCGTACCGTACCGGAGCTAACACTCAGGTAAACACGCTCACTGGGGATGCCTAGGCACCCAGGCAGGCTACAATCCGGCGATTGCCAAAGAGGATGGGGACGAAGGAGAAACACGCGCTTACCAGGCGCTGGCCATCAAAGGAGAGCCCTTCCCGGCACGCACGTGACTCGACCTCGCTCATTCTCGCACTCCCGAGAACACCCGCCACGCCCGCACGTGGCACCATCTATCGCCATATGCCGTTACCAGAGCACAGGAAAGGAAAAGAAGCGACTGTATGGGAGATTAGCCCACGAAATGGTCCCAAGCACACTACAGAACCCTACGTGGTTCACACCCTGATGACCCTTGTGAAGTGACTCCAACACTTCCCTCTGCAGAACCTCTGGAATCATCCGATGGTCTCCTATGAAGAAGAGTCCATCGCACGCTGTTAGCTCCCCTTGGCACTTCCAATACTTTCAGACGTTTGATGAAACTTAGTTCTTTCGATGCCAACCTTGCCTGCAGCACTTCACAAGGGTAATGCACTCGCCATCTGTCAACTAGTGGTGACAAACCGCTGTAAGGCTAACTGCTGTGCGCACATTCCTCAACATTGCCAAAAAGCTCACTGAGATACAACTCTACTTGGTTTCTTACCACTGGGGACCCTGATGTGATGGGGGCTCTTGAGAGAGTATCAGCAGTTGCCAGTAGCTTCCCTGGAATGTTCAATACCGTGTACTGCCACCTCGTGGGTGTCAGTTGAGTCCTTTGAATCCTTCGTGAATTCTTCGTGCTTGGTCCATGGAACCAAGCAGAGATGTGAGTTTTAAGTGATCAGTATCGATGATTAAGTGCAAGCCCTGCACATAGTCGTCAGGCTGTTTGACAGCCCACGTAACTGCCAAGCCTTTTTTTTTTCCATCTGGCTGTATCTGCTCTGCTGGAGTGATGGGGCGTGATGCATATGCCATGGCGCAGTGCTCTTCCCTTAGCTGGTCTTGTAGCCAAATGGCACCTGAGCCAAACAAATTGAAAACTGCAGATACTATGGTCGGGTACAGTGGGTGGTAGCTAGCCAAGCAGACTTTTCGAAGGCAACCTGATGGACTGATGCCTATGCCCAGTCACTTTTTTTGTTGTACAGTACTCGAATGGGTGTCATCAGCTCTGACAGATGGGGTAAAAATTGTCCCATGTGGTTTGGAATGCCCAATAGAATGCAGACGCCCCCGACATCGACAGGAGGTTCCACGCTCAACAGCAACTAGCTTGTCTGGGCCCGGCAAAATACTGCTGCCACAGATAACTACATTGAGGAACATGACACATGTTATGCTGAATCGGCGTTTCGACTTGTTCAGGGTCAGCACAGCATTTCCCAGTCGAACAGCACTGATCAGAGCTGAGGATGGCTTGGTGGGCTAGATGACAATGCATCACAAAAGGCTACAGCGCACATATAGACGGATACGATGTAAGTAACACAAGACAAGGGCTAACACCAAACAGCACTTGTCTGATGTTACTTCCGTCGTCTCCGTCTATATGCACTGTAGCTATTCGTGATTGAAGCCGGCTGTCAAGTTCTGCTTGGTCACGGCCAAAAATCAAAATTTTGATCATCATGTTTAAAACTCTATCTTGACCCTCGAGAATGTAACTCATTTGGCGCTAAAAGTATTCAGAGTGGAACATCATTTGAAATGGCAATCGATGGTAACAATAACATTCGAACGTCGTGATGAAAGTTAACGACAGTTCTGCCAGTTTTACTAGATGAAAACTTGATGTCACATCAAGCTTTGAAAACGCCTGAGCATTACCAGTAGCCCCAAACTTGGTCTACCGGGGGCAAAATGCGTTGCTCACGCAACATTACCTGGTTCAGTTTAGTGAGATCAATGCAGATTCAATAGCGAATAGTGAACAGCATCTGGCTTTAGCCGCGCATAGTGTACACTTCTGGCAACTGGCCCAAACCACATATAACAGCTTGTCTGATGCCGCTTGGATGCCTCTCATACAGCGATCGCACTGGCACACTAAGGCGTAGGCTTTGTCACACATCTGATCATCCCCTCTGCTTCAAGCCTGTCAGGGTCTGCTTTTGCGACACCATGGGCGCACATCTTCGAACCAGCAGCGAATAGGAGGCAGCATCTGGCTTTAGCCGTGCATAGTGTACGCTTCTTGCGGCTAACCTAAACCACAGAACAGCTTGTCTGACGCCGCTTGATTGCCTTGTGCTATGACCATCTGATTCACATACTTGACCAAACCCAGCTCTCAGATAGCAGAAAATCCCAAAAGTGGCATGACCTCGAACCGAAGCATGTAAAGTCGTTGCGCTGCCAACTTGTTTTTTTATTGCAGAGTGGCGATACACGTTCCCAGCACGTCCAACCAGCGGTTCTGAAAGTTCCCTTTCTGGCACCTCAAGATATGGCAGAATTCCAGAAAACGTATCGGGGATGACTGTGACCTCGGTGCTGCTGTGAACTTTGAAGCGTAGAGGCATTCCATCCACCTTTACATCCATGAACTTGGCCCGTGCCGCACTGTTCAAACTGACCAGCAACCAATTCCACCACGAAAAGTTGCTTACTTGCCTGGCAAACCACTGCAATATGGCCCTTCTTTCCATATTTGTTGCAGGTTGCTTGAAATGCAGGACATATTCTGAGCATGGATGTAAGGACCAGCCACAAAATCCACAAGTTGACTGTGTTGTGCGTCTATGGGCAGATCTGCATGAATTTCACTTCATGTACAGTTATTGCTTTGGTATGCGTTATCATCGCTGGTGAACATGCTCAAAGATTTGCACTTTGCTTCTCTGTGTTTTCCGCTTGACAGTCACAAATTAGCGCTTCATCTAATGTAATCTTTGGATTGCGGCAGAGCTTATCGGATAGCTTCGTGTCATGAAGGCCAAGGATAAAATAGTAGCAGACCAGTCGCTCCTCTATGTCCCATGCAGAGTAATTGCAGCGTTTCACCATATTGCCACGTTCCATTTCCCAAGTTTTTGTTATCGTCCCAAAACACCACACGATTCTCAGCGCAAACCGCGCCTGCAGTTTTCGAGAAGGTTCCAGACTGTAGTAGATCATTTCGATAAGATCACGCCCACTGTGCGAACGGTACAGATTGTTCTGGAACCTACGCCACCGCCAGCGATAACGCTAGAACATTCGACAGCAAGAGTATAAATGCCGACGCGCTTCGCCGCTTGTCAGTTGTTGATCAAAGACAGACGCTCCGTTCGCCGCTATCAGTCTGAGACTGCTATCTGTGCAAAACTACTGCTGTAATTGGACTTTCCGTTTACCGGGCACAGGTTCGCCCAAATAAACAGTTAAATCCCAACACGAAGTCTCCTGTCTTCGGCCACTGTCACGACCCCGTGACAATATTTCCCAGTGCCATAAAAAACACATCAGCTGTCTTGCCTGTTTGTTGAACACTACGGTAGAACATTGCGCTTTTGCACAGATCATTGGCGGGATGTATAAAATATCCATCGAGCTTGCTAACTACTCAGCATTCTAATTTGCACAGTCTCCGTGGCATACTTGCAATAACAAAATGTCGCGTGACCTAGTTCCCATGCATTAGAGCAGCATTCTGATGCAAACTTTATCATCCGCTGCCTGAAGTCACTCTGCTGAAGACCCTTTGCAAACCTGTAGTCTTCGAACTGCTGACGCCTTCTTTGCAAGGCCTCTGGGTTCTCGAAGACGAAATGGAGAGGCAGTTGCAAGTTGAAATGAGGAGGCAGTTGCTAGTGGGGCCCAGCGACCAATGTTACTTTGGCTTTCCCAACAGCTGCCGCAGGTAGCTCACTGTCTTGGTGTTCTTGCCCAGAGGAATTTCTACTACGATGCAGATCCAACTTCTGACGCCATGTCGAGAGTAACGAAAGGACGATGCGACATTCAGCTGGGCCAGCGACTAAGTGCCCGACACGGTTTATTGATACCATTTATATACACATCTGTAACATCTTCACAGTGCCCTCTGTTAGTGGGTTAAGTGACACTATTCAAGATTTATGTAACAAAATACAACACTAAGTCGCTTATTTTGATGTAGGACCAATACGGTTCTGAGAGCCACCACTTCCATGGTGGTTGTTGCCAAGTGTTCTTGAGGTTCTCCACTAAATTCATTACAAATAATGCACCTGACGCAAAACCCAGATGTCATCTGTATCTGGCTCATGTGCACTGACGTCATTCCTTTGTGGCCCCAAAATGCTTTGGGCACCTGTCATAAACTGAGTTTACTGGGCCGAAGTAGTTCAATGGTGCAGTTCAGTTCGCAAGCCATAATAAAGTTTTCTTTTCTGCTAAGAACCACCATATTTCTTCAGTTCAAAATCAATTTATAAATTTTAATACTACACACACTTGCTGATAAGGAAATATTACCTGTGATCAAGTGCAATGCAATTACTACACTGGCATTTTATTCATTGATATAAACAGACATTTGGGAGTTCAATAAGCATGAGTGCTACTATACCCATGCCCTAGGACAAGGGTCGGCAACTTTAAAGACAGCATGGCTGGGAGGGTAAGGAAATCCAAGAAGTGACAATAATGTGCCCAGCTGGAATGTTTGTTTACACTAGAAGAGCAACCATGTTTGCCTGGTACTGAAACAGCCTATTTACTGTCAACATAAAAAGGCTTTTATGTGGCCGCAGGCCACATAAAAGTGCTCAGCATGCGGCCCACAGATTTCTAACTCCTGCCCTAGAAAATACTGAAATTGTTCACAAAAGTAGAGTTTACCTTGTATGCGCTCCACAAAGGTTTTGAGCAGCTTGAGGGCCTCAAGACAAAGGCTGGAGTACTTTGTCATTTCTAGTAAAAATAAGAACAGCAACAGTTCAATGATTCAGTATGAGTACTTCAAGTGATACAGGTAATATTTCTAAGCAAATGATAAAGCTGAATTATTATGGTCATCAAATGAGACATGTGGTAGTGGTCAAGCGATGTTCACTTAGTATCTTGTGGCTTTAGTTACTAATGCACTTGTTTCGTCTTTTTACGTCCCATACCATCAGTTGCATTAAACTGAATGCATTGCCATCATTGCCTTTCCAAGCGTCATTGAATGAGTGCGTAGTTAGGCCTCCTTATGGGTCTTGGTCATCTGTAATACTATTCTATAATAACACTGCCTGGTGACAAGAGGACGTCACTATGTCAATAGATAGTATCTCATAACATGACATCACATGAGTGATTTAACCATTACCACGTATATTTACAAAAATTTTCTGGCTTCCAATGTCTAAGGTGTCGTTGAGTGAAAGTTACAACTGCCGGCCATGTAGTCCAAAATCATTAGTCATCAATTCCAAACTCCTACTGAGTGCTTGATACTTAGCGGCCACGCCTGGAAACGGCGCTAACAGGGTCAACTTTGAAAGCAGATATGTTACCACATTGTGCGTGTTGGGAAGAGGCTGCATAGTTCCTTTATTTTCATCATGTTGCACACACGAGCCCAAAAAAGAAGAAAGCTGTTGTATCGCCGCTGGGGCACCGGTGACGGAGGTAATGAGCACGTTCGCACCAAAACATTGTAACGAACGTCACGCTTAGCCGAGGGGACTCTTTATTCAGAAAGCACGCATTAGCACGTAGCAATGGTTGACAATATAGCTGTTGCGTGGTGCTATACGACACATTCCATAGCTGTTGTGTGGTGCTATACGACACATTCCATCGAAAGCGAAACTGATGTAAGGTCCATGACATCTCCCCCTAAAAAGGAAGGGAGACGTAAACTCTCGCGTACTTGTACAAGAGAACGCGAATTACACAGAACTAGCACCACGGTACGGAATCACAGTTGTTCAGAACAAGATACAGCAGCAAAGCACTGAAATTTGATGTATAGTAACATGCATAAGGTAGACTGGTAAAAATGCAATAAATCTTTGGTGCACATTAGAATCTGGCATAACAGTTGAAAACGGCTGTTTTGTATCAATATCTTGTACAAAATCACAAAACAAAACAGCATTATACACTACTTATCACATGTAGGAATCGGAGTAATACAAATAAATATGCTCAAGGAACATAATCCTTGTAACGCGCCGGTTTTTCACGGCGTCGCTTGGGACGACGGCATGCAGGAGAATAAGGTGAAGGATTCACCGACGAAGCCTTATCCATTTAAAAAGATATTGAGCCTTGGGGCTCACCTACATGCTCATCATCGGAGAGTGGTAGAAATTCTGGAGTGTTCATACATGACACATCGATACCTGAGACATCTTCCCCCCTTCGAAACAATCTGCACTGGGGCTGAGCACATTAGCCGTTTCTTGTAAACGTGCCTGTAAGGTGGTTTGTGGAAGGGTCACTAACCGGAGCATTGCAGAAGAACATGGAGGTGCGGAGTAATTCTGTTGCCTGAACGAAGAATCAGGCAGAGCAAGTGAATTCTGCTGTGAAGTTGAGTTTTGCTCTGCATGAACCAGTATGAGCTTTGAAGCATTCCATACATTGCCATCACTCAGGTGGAATGAATTCAGTCCAAGTTGACTAGTAATTGTATATAGATCATTGTACTTCATATGTTTGCCTGGAAGACAAACTTTAACCCTGCGGCCACCTGTAGCTTAGAAGGTTTTGCTCTGCACTTTAGATCAATGCGTTGCTTAGTTGCCTATTGCCTATTGAATACTCATGTTCTCACAGGGTCCAATGATGGCAAAGGAGTAGAAGACTGAGTGTAACCCTTCAATGTGGATTCCAGAACGTAGTTGGTAATTATTCAAAAGTTGTGCAGGTGAAATGTCTGTAGTAGCTTGACACGTAAAGCGATACGTGCTTAAGTACTCCGTAACATCATGTTTCAGTGGGCGGCATTCAAGTTGCGCGAGCTGAATTTGCTCTTTCAAAACTCTGTTGAAACATTCAACTTGATCGTTGGCTTGTGAATAGTAGTTCGATGAGCAAAGATGCTGAATGCCTCTTTCTGAGAGGAAAGTCTCAAATAGTTGCGACACTGAGGAATGTTGTCCGTAACAATTGCCTCAAGGAAGCCTTCCTACTGAAAACTACCATCAAGAATGTAATTACCACTACGGAAGTGCCTGCATGAGTAAAACAAACTTCCGGCCATTTAGAGTGGTAGTAAACTAATGTAATTGTCCATCAGCAGTCGTATAGAGCACGTTTGAGTGGACTGACAATGTCCATGCTTAGCTTTTCCCACGGTTTGATTGGCCATGGAACAGGCAGGAGGGGTGCAAAAACAGGTTTAGCCGATTTATTAGCTGTTTTACAATGCGGTTACAAAAAGCACGTTCAACTTGACTATCCAATCCAGGCCACCAGTATCTTTCTCTAAGCTGTTGTTTTGTCCCGACAATACCTGGGTGGCTTTCATGAGCCAATTGCACAAATATGTCGCACACTGATGTAGGAATGGTGACTCTATCTGTGTGAAAAACTAAGTTTTCTACACAGGACAGCTCAAATCTGACTGCAAAGTAGGGCAGTAGTTCTGGTGGCAAAGATTTCTTATCGGCCAGCCATTAGCAATGTAGCATGTTCAGCAGCTGCTGAACATGCTACATTGCATGTTCAGCAGTCTGGTCAGCTTTGCTTATGTAAAGAGTAACGAGAGAGATCATTACTTCTTCCAGCTCTGGGCAGGCTGGAAGCTGTAAAGGTAAATGGGAAAGTGGATCCACCACAACATATGAGAATCCTTGCAGTACTGTACATAGAAGTTGTAGTATAACAGTCTGGCACACCAGACTGAAATGCGTAATGGGCATCCGCCCTCTGATCCAGCAGAAAGTGATGAAACAAGAGCTTGATGATGAAGCACACATGCCATTTCTCACAAGCAAAGAAGCAGGCTAGGGCTTTACGCTCACCAACAGAGTATCTGCGTTCAGCAGGAGACAAAGTTATCGAAGCAAAAGCAATTGTGATTAACTGGTCACCTTTGAGTTGTTGAAACTTGGCACCCAATCCTATGTTGAATGCATCAGTCTTAATGACCATCAGAAGCTTCTCATTAAAGAGACGAATGACTGGATTAGAAGCTGTTGAAATCTGTTGAAAACCGAATTGGCCTCCTTGGACCAATTGAATGTTTGGCCTTTACACAACATGGAACGCAGTGGTTCAACAACATTAGCATAATGTGGAATTAACTTTGAGTAATAGCCAGTGAGACCAAGAAATGAATGCAAGGCTTCAGAATCTACAGGTGCAAGTGCATTAACAATAATGCACTTATGATTCAAGAGAAGACAATCCTCTGGCACTGACATTGTATCCTAAAAATTGAATTTGCTTGACTGCAAAGACACATTGTCATTTAGTTTCATTCTTGTACTGCTTATGTGTCTTAATGCAACTTGTAAATTAGCATCATGCATTAGCTTGCGTTCAACCTCAGACCAAAATGTCATCTAAGTAGCACAGTACTCTGGAGCAATCTTTCAAAATGTCTGACATCATTTTCTGAAAAACAGCAGGGGTAGTTGCAAGCCCAAAGAAAACTCTACAAAATCTGAATAAACCATCATGTGTTACAAAAGTAGTTAAGACTCTACTTGATTCTTAAAAGTTAACCTAATAGTATGCTGATGCAAGATACAGCTTCGAAAAGTAAACAGCACCTGTAAGTTGCTGGAAAAGTTCTTCGATGCGGGGTCGGAGAAATCCATCAACCACGATAGCTTTGTTTGGTTTCGCAGGTCCACACAGAGTCTTATAAAACAGTTTTTTTCTTTCACTAGGGCCAGTGGAGAGACCCGATATGATGCGGAATATCGTTCGACGACGCCAGCTTTTTCAAGACGAGAAAGTTCATCGGAGACTTGTTGTCGAAGCAGGAATGGCAATCTATGAAGTTTGGCACCTACTGGCTGCACGCCTGGACGGCGTTTCACTTCGTGCATGTAGCCTTTTACCAGTCCGAGTTCCTGGGTGAAGAGGTGATGAAATTCAGAAGGAACATTGGCAGGAATTCTTGCAGTTTCTGAACCTGAAACTTGTGCGCAGGACAATGCTGCACCGTCGATGGTTATGTGGCGGCTTCGAATGGCATCCGACCCAAGAAGTGAAGAACCCTCTTTCGTCACGTAGAATGTGACAGCAGCAGTGGTACCATAGTATCGAATGCTTGTGGAGAGGTATCTGAGGTTGGGAATGCATTTCTTTGAATAGTCCTGAAGAACAGTGTATGAGTCAAGTAGTCTGGTCCCCGAAAAGTACTTCTTGAAATCTTTTAAGTTAAGCAATGATACAGTCGCACCGGTGTTAATGAGGAAAGGGATGTTGACTTGACCAGCTTGAACAGTAATCATTTTAACATATAGTGTAGTAGCTGATACAGTCGCATTGGTGTCAATGAGGAAAGGAATGTTGACTTGACCAGGTTGAACAGTAATCATTTTAACATATAGTGTTGTAGCGCAAATTCGACGGGACACAAGCACAAGAAGAAACACGACACTCGCTACACTCGCAACCAATTTTATTTCAAAAGCAGCACTTCATATATATGTATAACTCAAATACCTAGCGACACAGAAAAGAACTACGAACACTGAATCATTGCCAAAAACCCATTTACACACACTAAAGTGATAGTGCATGACAGATAAGCAAATGACAGCGCTGGGTATCATTAAGAACAGAGGGCACGGCACTTGGCTGAGGAGCAAGATGTCTAAAACGCCGTTGCTGCTATTGCACATGCTGCCTTGGTTTTTCGTCGGAATGCCTGCGGAACCTGATGAAGGCTGCTCTTTTGTCATTCATGCGCAACACTGCAGGAATGCAAGCATGGAGTGCACATTTTCTGAACTTGCTTC